GAGTCCGAATAAGGGTTTCAGGGTCCAGAGGCCTGTCTGGGATTCTGTAGAGAAAACTGGCCCTCCCCTTGTCTGCACTCAGCCCATCAGTTGTTGGTAAGTGGTGTTGAGTCCATTCGGAGTCACAGTGACTCTGTATAGGGTTTTTGAGGAGTGGCTGGTGGATTTGAACTGCTGACCTTGTGATTAGTAGTCCAGTTCTTATCTTACAGTGCCACACCAGTTAGACTGTGGTTTTCTCTCTTTTGCTTCTCCAGTTTGCTTTTCTGACAGATTTCTGTCTTCTAGAAGCAATTGATAACACTCATTCCAATGACTCCTCTTGCATCTTTTTGTCATTGAAGGTGTCTATTTAATCTTTTCCTTTGCTATCATTTTATGAATTCTTTGTTGAGGAAAGAGATAAATATGGAAGATTGATCTTTTGATGTGGGTCAGAGTTTTAAGAAATAAGATGCTGCAGTATTTCCTACTGTCTGAACCCAGACACTGCCGGGTTATCAGAAACACAAGGAAGAGTCTTGGCTGGGGTTTAGTGAAAATCGACAAACAGAAGTCACCTGTGTTTTCCTGGGGACGGACCAGCTGCCCTGTGCCCACAAAGGTATTAGTCAATTTGTGCCAACCCAGGTTAGTCTGCACTCTCTTGACTTGCAGAATGAACTGCTCCCCTTATCCTCTGGGCAGGACTCAAAAGAATTGGAGAGGGCTGGAGTGAGTGGTCCTTTGTGTGCCCTTTATTTTACATCAGAGAGTTGGAGCAAAGCCACACAGTGGCCCTCTGGGAAGCTCAGGATTCCAGGTGGTCTTCCTGGTTAGTCTTTTTCATCAAAGTCGCCTCAAAGACTTTTCCTGCAAACCTTTTCTGAGCTTTCTTCCAGAGGTGCCCAGAGTTTATTTCTGGACATTGTCAGGGTTTCCTTCCCTGTCCTCACTCTGATCTGAGAAAGCACAGGCCCCAGCGGCTTCCTTCTTCAGAAGTCTTCCCAGAAGGCAACTCAGCCTCTCACTTCCTGCCGTGGCCTCCTTAGTTCATTCCTTGGAGACAGTATTGAATACAGCCATGTGCCAGGCTCAGGGAAGAGCCTCACTATGTTCCTGTCTCTGGGAGCTTTGAGGTAATTCTGGAACAGCCAACTGGCAACCTCATTTCTAGGAAATACTTAAGGGAGAGCTTTAAAAATTACTAGTTGTTTATATAGACACTTATTTTTTACTATGTCTGGGTGGTGGAAACTCTTAATGTGCTTGACTGCTAACTGAAGGGTTGGTGGTTCAAGTCCACCCAGAGATGCCTACTTATGAAATATCAGCCATTGAGACCCTGTGAAGCACAGTTCTCGGACACACATGTGGTGCCATGAGTTGACGTGACAGCAACTGGGATATAATGTGTCTGGAGGATTTGGTTGTTTCCTTTGGTTCATCTGGACTTTTAAGATATCTTTCCAGGCTTTGCAAACAGGGATATGTTTGGGTGTCCTTGCTTAGATCTCTATGTTGTTGTTAAGTGCCGTGGAGTTGTTTCCAACTCATAGTGACCCTGTATAGGGTTTGCAAGTAGTGGCTGGTGAGTTTGAACCACTGACCTTGTGGTTAGCAATTCAGTGTTTATCCTACATTGCCACACCTGTGTTGTTGTTGTTAAATGCCACAGCGACCCTGCATAGGGTTTCCAAGTTCTGGCTCACAGCGACCCTGCATAGGGTTTCCAAGGAACAGCTGGTGAACTTGAAATGACAACCTTGAGGTTCAAGCCAACTTTTCAGTCCAGTGCATTAACCCGCAGCGCCACACAGGGAAGCAAGCAGCCTGTAGTATTATAGTGGGAAGTGGGGCCGGCCTTCATTCACTAGAAGTATCTAGATCTACTCTAAGAGAGGCTTTAGGCTGGGTGTAAGACTTTCAGAAATAACTCTAGGTAGTAATTTTCCAGTTTGACCCAAGAAATTCTCTTTGCACAGGAAGCCGCTGCGTTGAAGTGAGGGAAAGAGTGATGCCTTAGCAAGTGCCTGTTTCTTTTCTGTGGCAGAAGATGTCCTGTTGAGGTTAATAGTGAACCCCCAAGAAGGAAAGGAGCACGAGGTATCCCCAGACCACTTTTTCCAAGGAGACTGTTTATTTGTGTGTTTGTCTTAAACCACAGTGACCCTAACAGACTGGTGGTCTTTTGAGCAGGCTCCAGGCTATTCCACCAGAGACACCCAGAACTGTGCTCCCCCTACCCCCAGAAGTGGGTTTGGGTTCCTACAAGGCCTCACAGAACCAGAGATCCAGACAGAGGGCTGTGTTTGTGGGCAAGCTGTATTTGCCTAGTCAACATGTTGGTTTTATGTTACTGCCTTCAGGTCTGATAGAAAAACAGAACCAGTAAGATATTTATATTTAAATGTTATTATTATTATTTGGGAGAAAGATGAGGCTTTCTACTCCCGTAAGGATTTACAGCCTTGGAAACCCTGTACAGGGTCGCTATGGGTCGGAACCGACTCGACGGCACTTAACAACAACAACAACATTATTATTTGGGAGCATGGAGGCTCTGTAACTGGACTGCAAACCACAAGGTCGGTAGTTCAAGTCCACCAGCTGCTCTGCAGGAAGAAGGTGAGACTTTCTGCTCCCACAAAGATTTACAATCTCGGGAAGCTTATACATGGTCACTGTGAGTCGGAACCGACTCAATGGCATTATTATTATTATTTCTTTTTCATTTAAGGAATTGGCTCCTGGGATTGTGGGTGTGTTACTGTTGTGGGTATGTGCCGTTGAGTCAGTTCTGACGCATAGCAACGCTATGCAAACAGAGTGAAACACTGCCAGTCCTTTCAGCACCATCCTCACAATCGGTACTGTGTTTGAGCCCATGGCTGCTGCCACTGTGTCAGTCTGTCTCATTGGGCTTCTTCCTCTCTTTTTCTGACCCGCTACTGTACCTTCTCCAAGGAGCTCTGGTAGCGTAGTGGTTACAAATTAGTAACCACTTCAAGGTTGGCAGTTCGAAACTACCAGGTGTTCCACGGTAGAAGGATGAGGCTTTCTGCTCCTGTAAAGATTTACAACCTCGGAAACCCTGTGCAGGGTCACTATGAGTCGGAACCGATTCCACGGTACTTAACAACAACAACTTTACCTTCTCCAGAGATTGTTCCCTCCTGATAACATGTCTCAAGTATGAGAGACAAAGTCTTGCCATCCTGGCTCCGAAGGACCATTCTGAATGTACTTCTTCCAGCATAGATTTGTTTGTTCTTCTGACAGACCAGGGTTCTTTCAATATTCGTCTCCAACACCATAACTCAAATGCATCAATTCTTCTACAGTCTTCCTTATTCATTGTCTAACTTTCACATTGTATAAGAGGTGATTGAAAAGAGCATAGCATGGGTCCTTAAACTGATCTCTTTGCTCTTTGACAAATCCAAAATCCATAAATCAGGCAACAGAATGTACATTCTTGCAGATTTTTCTCCCCCAGACTGGCATGTCAGGTAGTGAGGGAGAGAAGGGAATACTGGCAAGATGTCGATTTTTAGTCTGGAGGCAGGGTTCCCTCGTGAAACCTCAAGATTTGCTCTTAAGGTCTTCAACTGATTGGATAAGGCCCACCCACATTATGGAGAACAATTTGGTTTACTTAAAACCAACTGATTTAATCATATATAAGTGCCTCAGAGCCACATCTAGACTGGACAGAATAGCCCAGCCAAGATGACACATACAATTAACTATCACAATTACCTATGACTTAAAATAGCAAAAGGATCTAAGGATGCTTTCAGATGTAAAATTTCTAAGTCAGAGTTTATTATCATAACTGCCTTTATTTGGTTACTTGGACTAATGGAGACTTATGGGGACACTTGGCATTATCACTGACTATCCCTGAACCATCTTTACGAGGCCATGGGCTGAGTGGCCTTGGACAAATCTTCCTCTCTGGACTTTGCTTCCTCCAGATGAAGAGCTGGATGAAAATGGTGTTTGTGACCACCTCAGGCAGGGTTCTGTGGTGTCCTCCTGAACCCCACCTCAGCATCAACTTGAGCCTCTCTGTTGTTTTGTCTGTTTTATTTCCACTGTTTCATTGAACCAAGGGTTCCTGGAGCTGAAGCATTTGGAAATCACAGAACAAATTGCTCTCTCGGGTCCTGTGAAGTCTGTTTCTGTTTAGAATGTGGTGCCGGAGAGCTGCACAGTCATCATTGGGGAGAACAGAGGTAGCTGGTAAACGTTCCCCAAAGGGCTCTGCAGACACTGTGACCTGCAGAGTGACCCTTGGTGAACAGCCTGGGCCATTGTCTTTCAGCTCTATTTTTAGATACAAGTGACTAGTGACAGGGCCAAGTGTAGGGGGGGGGGGGGGCCCTGGCAGCCTAAACACATGCTTACAGCATTGGCTAAGTCCAGGCATCAAAACTTTATTTTAATTTGCAAGCGTATCAAAGTTTTCATCATAGAAAAAAATGTGAACTTTTGTGAATGACCTCTGATTTCCTTCTGTTTGGTCTTGTTTTGTATTGTATCTGTGTGATAAGTGGGACCCAAGTGGGCAGGGGTACTCTCTACTCGTCTTACTCTGTCCTGGGATCCCAAGAGCCCCTCTTTAGCTTCCGGCCAATAGGTAGTTGCCTACTAACCTCTAGCTTCAGCTACATGACCCCCTGCCTGCCTTGGGCAGATTCTTAAAATATTTGCCCATCAGCAGCCTCTCAGAGAGGAATGTTAACTGCTGCCATGATGTCAAAGGGGCCCAAGGAGAGGTGCCTGGGCCAAACTCAGCCCGCCACTCACGGCATGGCAGAAGGCGAGATAAGCAAAGGCACAGAGAGGACCTGGTCCTCTGGGCTCCCCAAGCAACCAGGCCACTGTGTGGGCTGGCACGGAGGGGCAAGGCCGTTAGCTTCCAAGGACAATGAACTTCCAGGCACCATTACGGTAGTGAAAAGCAGGCGTCTGTGGGTCTTCCATTTCTTCACCCTTGTCAAGCCTGCCTTAGGATGTCAGACACCTCCAAGGAGAATTCGGGGTCCCAGGAGCTGCCAGTTCTGGGCAAGGTTAGTCTAAACACCATGGACAGCAAGATCAACATGCTGAATGAGAAAGTCGACAAGCTCCTGCATTTCCAAGAAGACATCACGGAGAAGCTGCAGTGTGTGTGCCATGGCATGGGCCACTTGGAGCAAGGCCTCCATCGTCTGGAGGCCTCCCGAGCACCGGGCCTGGCGGGAGCTGGTGGCTTGTCCCCAGCCGACCCTCAGGCTGGGAGTCCTGAGGTCCTGGAGCTGGTGAGGGCCGTGCGACAGGACGCTGCCCAGCACAGCACCAGACTTGAAGCCCTCTTCCGGATGGTGGTGGCCGTGGACAAGGCCATTGCTTTCTTGGGGGCCATGTTCCAGAACTCGAAGGTAGTGGATTTCATCATGCAAGGGAGTGTGCCCTGGAGAAAAGGAAGCCTGACTGAAGGCCCTGAAGAGGTTGGTTGCTGTTTCCCTGTACTGGTACCTTTCTGGCTGGAAGGGAGGCCCAGGGACCCAGGTGGGGAGACTGTCCCTGTCTGGTGCCTCCTGTGGGGCCTGTTGGTGTGGAAGGGAAGAAACAGGAACCTTAGAGGTGGACTCAGAGAGGTGTGGACACTGACCTGCTCTGCACAGGGGCAGGAAGGCAAGGACTTTGTGTCTGTGGGCAGCTCCAGGGAACCCAGAAGTGGGGAGACACGGGCCATTAAGGAGAGGAAGCAGCTAAGTGTCTTTGACATCTTGTGACTTTTTTCTCTAGCCCCCCATCCCTGCTCCTTCAACCCTGGGATGGGAGGGAGGTGGGGAGCGATCAGTTTACCCTGACAAGACCCCTTCACCCGCCTTCCGCTCAGAAACCCAACTCTGCCCCCTCCCACTTTCCTGCCCCAGAGTGGGTGGAGTATGCAGCTGCCGATGGGAATGTGAGTGTTGACAGTGGCCCATGGAAGACAGAGGGCAGAGAGGGGGTCTGGGGGTGGAGGGAGCAGTGGCTGCTCCCAAGGGTTACATAATCAAACCCACTGGCTAATGGAACCTAGACTGGGGGACAGGGTGGGTTGGGGTAGGGTAGGGAGGCTGGGTGAGGTGTGGTAAGGCAATGCCCTGTTTGAAAACAGCTAAGTGTTTGGCCACTTAGCAACATTCAGACTTCCAGGAGCCACCATTGCAAATCCCTGTAGTTACCAACCAGGCTCTGGCAAAGAGATAAGATGGAGTCCAGAGGGGCCTGTGCTGACTCTGTGGCAGCTCCTGAGGCTTTCACTGGCAAGGCTGAAGGAGTCTGTGCATGCTTCCCACCCAGCCAGGTTAGAGATCATCCCCACCCCACACTCCTTCTCCTACTTTCTCTGCAGGTTTTCCCAAACTATTATACACACACGGAGTCCCGTGCACAAGAGCTAACACACTAGGCTGCCTACTGGAAGGTTGGAGACTTGAGTCCACCCAGATGGACCTCAGGAGAGAAACCTGGAGGTCTGCTTCTGAAAAAAGCAGCAATGACAACCCTAGGGAGCTCAATTCTACTCTTACACACGTGGGTCATCATGAGTTGGAACGCAGCTCACAGCAACTGGGCTGATTCTTTTTATTTTTAGAAGGTATTTGTCTCCCTCCTGCTCTGTGCTCCACCCACAGCCTCCACCTCTCCTCTTGTCCAGGCACCTTTCCCAAGACCGCCATAGGTACCAGTTTTCTATGAATCCTTTCAGATACATTCAGTGCCTCCATGAATATAAGCACACTGGTATGCACACTGCTCCCTTTGTTTTAACTCAAATATGAATTATACTGTCTGACTCTGATTTTTGTTTCTACTTAATATATTTTAGACATGGTTTCATATTTGTACCTAGAAAGTTCCCTCATTCTTATTTCTTGTTAAAGTTACAGAGTGCTCCATTTTCTGGGATGTATTTTAATTTGTTAAGCAATCTTAAACCATTGTTTATATTGTTTCTCCTCTTCAGCTATTACAAATAATGATGCTGTGAATATCTGTAGAAGTATGTCTTCGAACACAAGTGTGAGTTTATCTGTGAGACACATTTCTAGAAGACAAAATGCTAAGCCACCTTCAAAGAGCTTATTCCATTTCAGTCTACTGCCAGTAGCATATGGAAATGCTTGGTGTCTCTACATTTTTGATTCTTTGCTTGCCTGTTGTTGTTGTGGTTAAGTGCTGTCAAGTCATGTCCAACTCATAGTGACACTGTATGAGGTTTCTAGGAAGCAAGCTGGTGGGTTTGAACAGCTAACCTTGCAGTTAGCAGTCCAGTGCTTAGCCTATGTAGCACCATACCAGGACTTGTGTGATTGATGTAACTTTTTACTGTAGAAAATTTCAAACATACCAAAAGTAGATAGACTGAAGCTACTCATTGTAGTTTTAATTTTATTGGAAGTAAAGATTTAATTTTATTTCTTTCATAAACTGAAAAGTTTCATGTTTGTGTGTGTGTGTGTGAATTGCCTGCTCTTGTCATTGTCCCTTTCTTCTGTTTTAGTCTTGGACCCTTTTCTGACTGACTTTTAAAATTCTTTATGTTGTTATGTTGTTGTTGTGTGCTGTACAACAGAGGGACATACTTTTCAGCCCTGTGCCGTCGTCAGCATTGTTGCTGTGTTTGAGCCCGTTGTAGGCACTGTGTGAATCTATCTGGTTGAGGGTCTTCCTCTTTTTTGTTGACTCTCACAACTCTACCAAGCAGGATGTCCTTCTCCACGCACCGGTCCCCCTGATAACATGTCCAAAGTACCTGAGATGAAGTCTCACAGTCCTGGCATTCTGGTTGTACTTCTTCCAAGACAGATTTGCTCCTTCTCTGGCAGTCCATGGTATAGTCAATGCTCTTTGCCAGCACCTACTTCAAGGAGCTCTGGTAGAGTAGTGGTTACGAATCGGGCTGCAAACCTTAAGGTCTAGCGGTTCGAAACTACCAGCTGCTCTGCAGGAGAAAGATGAGGCTTTCTACTCCTGTAAAGATTTACACCCTTGGAAACCCTGTACAGGGTCGCTATGGGTCAGAACTGACTCGACGGCACTTAACAACAACTTCAAATGTATTAATTCTTCTACAGTCGATCTTCTTTATTCATTGTCCAGCTTTCACATTCGTATTAGGTGATTGAAACTACCATGGCTTGCTTGGATCAGACTCCCCTTAATCCTCACAATAACATCTTTGCTCTTTAACACTTTAAAGAGGTCTTGTGCCTAATGCAATACGTAGTTTGATTACTTCACTGTTGCTTCTATGAGCATTGATTGTGGATCCAAATAAAATGAAATCCTTGACAGCTTCAAACTTTCCTCCCTTTATCATAATGTTATTTATTGATCCAGTTGGGAGGATTTTTTTTCTTTATGTTGAGGTATGGTGGTCGTTATGTGCTGTGGAGTCGTTTCTGACCCATAGCGACCCTGTACAGGGTTTCCGAGGCTGTAAATCTTTACGGGAGCAGAAAGCCTCATCTTTCTCCCGTGGAACAGCTGGTAGTTTCAAACTGCTGACCCTGAGGTTAGCAGCCCGATTCACAACCACTATGCTACCGAGCTCCTTAAGCCATGCTGAAGGCTGTATTCTTTGATCTTCATCAGTAAGTGCTTCAAGTCCTTTTTGCTTTCAGCAAGCAAGATTGTGTCATATGCACATCATAAGTTGTTAATGAGCCTTCGTCTTCCTCCAATCCTGGTGCCACATTCTTCTCCACATAATCCTGTTTCTCAAATTGTTTGCTTAACATATAGATTGAATAAGTATGGTGAAAGGATACAACAACCCTGACTCACACCTTTGCTGATTTTAAACCATTCAGCATCCCCTTGTTCTGTTCAAATGATTGTTTCTGGGTCTATGCACAGGTTCTTCAAGATCACAATGAAGTATTCTATAACTCCTATTTTTTTTGCAATGTTATCCATAATTTTTTGCCCTCTACATAGTCATATGCTTTTGCATAGTCAATAAAACACAAGCACACATCTTTCTGGTATTCTCTGCTTTCAGCTAAGATCCATCTGACATCAGTCAAGCTATCCCTTGTCCCAAGTCCTCTTCTGAATCCGGCTTGACTTTCTTGCAGTTCCCTGTTGATGTATCATTGCAGCCACTTTTGAATTCTCTTCAACAGAAGCATGTGATAGTAATGATATTGTTCAATAAGCTTCGCATTCTGTTGGGTCACTTTTGTTTGGAATGGGCACAAATATGAACCTCCTGTAGTCCGTTTTCCAGGTAGCTGTCTTCCAAATTTCTACACAAAGATGAGTGAGCACCTCCAGCACTGTATCAGTTTGTTGAAACATTTCAGTTTGTATTCCATCAATTCCTGGAGGCTTGTTTTTTGCAATGCCTTCAGTACACCTTGGACTTCTCCCTTCAATACCATTGGTTTTTACCTATCTACCTCTTGAAATGGTTGAACATCAACAAATTCTTTTTGGTATAGTGACTTTGTGTATTCCTTCCATCTTCTTTGGATGCCTTCTGCATCGTTTAAATGTAAGAGTTTTTTTTATATGTTAATGTAATTAGCTGTCACGTATTGCAGATATTTAGGCACTTCTGGAATGGAGAAAACATAGCCATTTTCCTTTTCTGGATCCTTGCAACGTTTCTTCTGTATGCTGCTACAATGACACTTGACTGACATCTCTTCTGGTCCTTGTATTTAATATAATACACATATTAGTAGCTATATGCAGCGTTGTGTCTAGTCTCCCAACCAAGATGTCAGTTTCTTATTGGCTCGTGACGTGAAGGCCCTACTTCCCTTTTTGAACTGAGGCCAGGACTGGTCTCACAGGAAGTGCTTTGAGAATGGGCAGTGAACTGAAATACAGACAAAGCTTTATAACACATTGTCAGTGCTGAAAGCTGCACATAATGGAGACTTTATGGAGACGCCTTTTGTATTTCCTTAGCCTGCCTTGAGAATTGGCGGTGGTGGTGTTGTTCGGTGCAGTCAAGTAGGTTCCCGCTCATAGCGATCCTGTATAGGGAACCAAGGAGTGGCCAGTGGGTTTACATTGCCAGCCTTGTGGTTAGCAGTCCGGTGCTTATCTGCATGGTAATTATTTGTGGAATTGATTTCAATCCTACCAGAGGAAGATCCCCAATGAGATGGATTGGCACTGTGGCAGCAGCAGTGGGCTCAGACAAGTGTAGCAAATTGTGAGGATGGCACAGGACTGGGTGGTGTTTTGTTTTGTTGTGCATAGGGTCCTTAGGAGTGGAAACTGATGCAATAGCACCTAACGACAACTGGTTGTTAATTTTGAAAAGTGTGTCAGGACTCTGTGAAGGACCTCCTTGGATCTTCTGAAGTGTGCACTTTATTTGGTTGTTAAAATAATTCGATTGTTACTAGAAGTCAGGTGCTGTCTCGGGTTCAGGTTCATCCAGAGGTGGGCTTGAATCACAGCCACGTTGTTCAGACATCGGTCTTCTAGAATGGTGTTTGGAGTTTATTTACTTGATCTGAGTGTACAGATTACTAAGGCAGGGACCAGGAGGTTGAGCCCTCAGGACCGCCTAAGCCATCTGTGTGCAGTGTATGTGTGTGTCTGTGTACATGTGCGTGCCTGCATTAAAGACAGAGGGAGTGACAGAACAGTTTGAACCCAACAAGGTCTGCCAAAGGACACTCTGCACAAGCCCTTGTCTACCGTGGGGGAGGGGTGTGAAACAGGAGAAGGCTTGTGATAATGCCTCCATTTCCCTCAACCACGGGGGCACCAGGATACTCCTAGTTCAGGTCACACTGACATAGCAGCTGCTAACATTCATCTGTTAAGTGAATGCAGGCACGCGCGTGCAGGCCCTGTGGAAGGGGCTTCCTGAGTGTTGCGTCCTTACGTTTAGAGGCAAAGGCTGCTGTTCTTGAATCCCAAGGCAGAGTGTAAAATAAACAGTGGAACTGACCCTCAGTTTTAGAGATGAGGCCTCTGATACCCAGTTAGAAGGAATGGTTCTAGAATTGTTTGCTACGGTGGCCTAGACCTATCAGAGAACCTAGACTGTTTTTCTAATGAGTGTTGTTAGGGCACAATTTACGTACGATGAGCTATACTTCCACATTAATATACTGCATGCATTTAAAGTATACAGTTCAACAAATGTATATTTCAACCCCAAAAGAAGCCATGCATTTTAATGTAAAATCTTCTAAATTTTAAATATTGATAGCAAATTAAACCATGTTAAATGTTGTGCAAAAAATGCATCTCAAGCTGTCTTTGATCCTTTGTAGCAAAGTTGAATGTCCTTCGGTGTCATAAACAGTTTGCACTCATCAACTAATCTTAAGAGTGGCTGTTCAAACCCATCCAGTAGCAGAGTGAAAGAAAGACCGCAATCTGCTTCCATAAAGATTACAGTCAACAGAATATAAAGTTAAAACACAAAAACCAAAACCCATGAAGCACAGTTTGAGTCTTAACACATGGGTCACCATAAGTTGGAATGTGCGTGTGTGTGTATGTCAAAACATCATGGCTTGGGTCAGATGCACCTTAGCCTCAAACTGACATCTTTGCTCTTCAACACTCTTTAAGAGTTCTTGTGCATCTGATTTGCCTAATGTAATATGTTGTTTGGTTTCATGACTGCTGCTTCCATAAGTGTTGATAGTGGGTCAAAGCAAAACGAAATCTTTGACAACCTCAATCTTTTTCCCATTTGTCTTGATGTTACTTATTGGTCTAGTGGTGAGGATTTTTGTTTTCTTTACATTGAAGTGCAATCCATAGCAAAGACTGGAATCGCAATCATTGAGTTGAAACAAAATGTATGATTTATTGAATGTAAAACATATGATTTTGTCTGTAAACCTTCACTCATTCACAATAGAAAGAAAGAAAGAAGGAAAGAAAGAAAACCTATGGTGCACAATTCTATTCTGATGCACATGGAGTTGGTGAGTCATAATCAACTCAACAGCAATCGTGTTTTTGTTTTTGTGTATGTGGGCCTTGGTGTTCACTGGTAGAATTCCCGCCTTCCATGTGGGAGAGATAGGTTCGATTCCTGGCCAATACCCTTCAAGAATAGTCACCACTTCTCTGTTAGTGTTGCTGTGATACTGAACACATTTCAGCAAAACTCCAGGCTAGGCCAGACTAGGAAAATAAACCTGGCAACCTATTTCTGAAAATCAGCCAATGAAAACCCCTTTGGATCACAGCAGTTTGACCCTATTGCATGCGGGATCATCATAAGTCAAGAAACTGACTTGACAGTAGCTAACAACAACAGCATTATTGTAAAACTACATGAGATGGCGAGACTTCATCTCTCTGGACTTGTTATCAGGAGAGACCAGTCAGTCCCTGGAGAAGGACACCATGCTTGGCAACGTGGAGGGTCAGCAAAAAAGAGGAAGACCCCCAAGGAGACGGACTGGCACCATGGCAGCAGTAATGGGTACAAGTGTAACAATTGTGAGGACGTGCAGAACCAGGCCGTGTTCCATTCCTCCAGTGTGCATAGGGTTGCTATGAGTTGGAATGGACTCAATGGCACCTAACTACAACGAACACATGAGATAACCAAAGACTTTATCTTAAGTGCATGGTAGTCCATCAACAAATGTTTGCGGCCTCAGTGATGCTGCTGATGCTGATAATTACTATGGTTGCTATTTTAGAATAAAGAGAAAGTGGAAGAGAAGGGAGCGAAACCAAAACATGCACTGAGCACAAGAGGTGTGCAAGCTGAGATCAGGGGACCTCTGGAAGGTAAGTGGGACCCCATTTGCTTTATCCCACTGTCTTAGCCTGGGTTCTTTATATGTACCTATACAGAGATAAGTTCATATCAAAGAAATGACTCATGTAGTTGTAAAGGTGAGCAAGTCCTAATTCTGTGGGTCAGATGAACCTGGATCTGCAGGCAATAGAGAATACACTGGCTCAAGTCCAAAGAACCAGTGGTTGGATGATGAATCAGATGTGGAATCCAGACCCAGCAGAAAGCAAGCAAGCTTTGCTTGAGTGTCCATTATATTGGACGCTGGCCATAACCCATGGAAGTGATTACATTATAATTGGTCTCATCATGGAAAATTACTTAACTGCTAAACCACTGAGGATCCTGGCTCAGTTAAATAGACACAGAACAAAAATAATCACACCCATCTTACATACAGTGGGGCTGGTGATTATGTGCCATGGAGTCAGTTCCGACTCACAATGACCCTATATAGAGTTTTCAAGGCTTTAATTTTTTACAGGAGCAGAAAACCTCATCTTTTTCTCGAGGAACAGCTGGTAGTTTCGAACTGCTTACCATGATATTAGCAGCCCGACTCATAACCATTACGTTATCAGAGTTTCAGAATAAAAATAGTAGCAGTACCACCAACACCAATAGCACAGTTACTGAAAAATCACTGGTTTTTTTTACCTGTTTATTTTGTCCTATATGCATACCCTACCAGAGAGAGTCAACTACTTAGTTTTAAAGTCACGTGGAATAATAGGGTTTTTGCTGTGGACTTTGCCATCCACTTCATACTCAGGTTTATTTATTCCACTTTGTTTTCAGTTTTTATAGATGAATTTTTAAATTTGAAAATCATTTTGCATAGTATTTACATGGTTCCAAAGTCAAATTGACCAAACAAGGTCTATTAAGAGAAATGTAGCTTCTATGCTTGCTCCTGCACCCTGTGATCATTGAAAAAAGCTCTGGTCTTATCTTTCCATTACTTTTATTGTAAAACACACACACTCTACCTTGTTAGACATCAGTTATCCCTACCTTACTCGTTCACTTACTGTATGTCCTGAGATTACTCCATTGTCGTATATACAGAGTCAATGTTCCTTTTTTTATTGCTCTGTGATACTCTGTTGTGTGGATGTACCATAGTTTAGTCATAGTTTGGCCATTTAGGCTGGGTACAGTCATTGTCTGTTGTGAACACAGCTCTGCATGTTCTTTGCAATATCTTTGGGATAAATTCTTACAAGTGGGATTGCTTCCTAATAGTGCATTTGTATCCCGCCTCTTTTTCTGTAGAGAGCCAGAAGGCAGACCCACCAGAGGGCACAGTGGAGCCACTGCCCTCCACCCATGCTGCAGGGATGGGAGCAGACCTCCTTACCCAGGCAGGGGCCTCCCCAGGGCAAGGAGATGGAGCCTCTGGTCAAGGCCAGGTGCCCCCTGACCAGCTGCCACTGTCCACAGAGGTTGAGGCCACAGTGGCTGGGACTGGCTCGGCTGCAGCCCCCAGCAGGGTCAGCAAGAGTCTCATCAGCCAGGAAAGTGCAGACCACAGGCCTGACTCTAAGACCTCCGAGGAGGGGCTGAGGCTGACTTCAGGACCCAGTCCCCAGCCCCCGGCACCTCTGGAGCCTCCAGTCCAAGCCAGGGCAGCTTATGGCCATGTGGAAAGGCCTCCAAGGTAAGGGACACTTTCCTAGTCTGGACCAGCTGTGTTCATTGGGTGTCCACTGCGTGTAAGTGCTGGGCTGGGCTGGGCTGGTAAGGGTCAAGGCAGGAGACAGTCTAAGAATTACGAGCTAAGAGCAGGTATTGCTAACTGCCTCTTGTGAGAATTTCCTGGGAAATGTATAAAGTACTCATGCTCAGAGATTCTGATTTATTGGTCTGGAGTGAGGCTCAGCATTGTTTTATTTATTTATTTTATTATTTTTTTAACTCCTCTACTGATTTCAATGTGGACCAGGGTTGAGAACAACTCTTCTTGTTGTTGTTGAGTGCCGTTGACTGAGTTTCAACTCATAGTGATCCTGTACAGGGTTTCTAAGGAGCTCTGGTAGAGTAGTGGTTACAAATTGGGCTGCTAACCTCACGGTCAGCAGTTCAAAACTACCAGCTGTTCCGCAAGAGAAAGATGAGCTCCTGTAAAGATTTACAGCCTCAGAAACCCTGTACAGGTCACTGTGAGTCGGCACTGACTCCACGGCACATAACCACCACCACCAAGGAGCGACTGGTGCATTTGAGCTGCCGATTTTGTGGCTAACAGTCTAATGCGTATCCTACAGTGCTCCACCAGCTCTTGCTGTTCTTGTTATGTGCTGTCGAGTTGGCTCCAACTTAGAAGCCCTGTGTAGGTTTTCCAAAGAGTGGTTGATGGGCTTGAACCACTGACCTTGTGATTAGCAGTCCAGTGTTTATACCTACAGTGCTACACCAGGACTTTACTAGCTCTTAGAGCAATAATACTTGTTCGGAGTCTAATGGTAATAAAATGGTGTCCACTTAGAACTTCCCATTGGCCAAGCATTTCACAGGCATCATCTCAGTTAGTTCTCCCAGTACCCCAGCAGGACCATGTTTCGGCTGTCCTCATCTTACTGATGAGAAAACGGTCTCAGATTACTAAGTGTTCGTGGAGTCCAGGCTGCCCCCAGATCCTGTGCCTGGAACCAACACATTCCCCTGCTCTGTGAGACCAACGTTGAGTTCAGTTCTAACTGGGATGGTAGGCAGAGGAGGGACAGAGCACGCAGACATGGGAGGTCAGCAGGGGCTGGGTCATGCAGAAAGGAGCCCAGGTGGTGCTGTGGGTTAGTTGGACTACTAATAGCAAGGTCAGTGATTCAAACCAATCAGCTGCTCCAAAGAAGATGAGACGGCCTGGTAGCGTGAACATTTTCAGTCTTGGAAGCTGTGGCAGTGGGTGTTGTTGGGGGATTGGGTCATAGAAGGGCATTCAGGGGCGTGTGTGTGGGGGGGTCTCTGAAGCGGATTTATGGCCCACTGACCTGTCATGTAGGATGTTGCCTCTGGGCCTGAGCTCAGTGGAAACAGTACAGAAGACCCAGAAGTGTCCAGGCCTTTCCTAGCCCCGGGCCTACTCCTCCCCATCCTGCCCCCAGCTTCCTGGGCTTCTATTGGAGGGGTTGGTATCCACCGTGCAGGCCCTGGGCTACCCTGGCCTATAATAGAGCCTCCAACCCTGTGGCCTGGTGGGATCTGGTGTCTGTGTTTGCTGTGGGTAAGGGCAGTGAAGCCCAGATCGTTGGTCTGCCTTTGTTCTAGAAGGAAGTGGGAACCTCCCAGGAGGCCCACAAGCTGGATGGATTCCTGACATGCGTCCTTGGATCCCAGCCAGGGTCTAAATGTAGAATCTGGGGAGGGGGTGAACTTTCCATGAACTTGTTCCCACCACTGCCACTCTAGTGAGTCGATTCTAACTCATAGCAACCCTACACAGGGTTTCTGAGACTGTAAATCTTTACGTGAGCAGACAGCCTCCTCTTTCTCCTGGGATGAACTTGTTAGAGGCCTCAGAAATATTCTGGGAAAGGAGAGAGATTCTTTATCTCAGCCTCAGCCCTGAGTTGAATTTCAGGTGATATGCAAGAAGTTGGCGGACCACTGTCTGTACTTCCTCACCTGGCGTGTGGGTATATTTTCAAGGAAAGTAAGTTTGGACTCAAGTGCTGGCTCTGATTGGCATTGACTGCCTGCGTTGAGCATCCCACAGCAATGTCTGGACTTGGTGAAGAGTGCTGTAATTGTTTAGTGATGCCTGCTATGGGTGTGGGAAGTGAGAAGAGCCGCCTGGGTGTTGTGCCATAGATAGAAAACTCAAGTTTTCTTTCTGAGCTTATTCCATGACCTCTTGGGTGTGAAGACCAAGGAGGAAGCAGTGACTGTTGGCCCCAAGTGGTGGCCTTCTCAGCTGAACACCTGGATGCTTGGGGCAACTTGGATTAGATGCCACCCTGCCCATTCCACCCTATCATCAATGACCCCTTCTTGGTCCCCAGGAGGGATTCTACAGCCTCCTGCCCAGTGTTTCCAGTGTTTGGCTGTAGGCTTTCAGTCCTACCCAGAGACAGCAACTATCCAGGGCAACCCAGCAGCTCAGGGAGTCCAGCAGTCCAGGGTCTCATGCCTCAAACCCCACCTACATTTGTGCTTTCTGCTCTTAGTTGAATCTCTCAGCATGTCTGTGATGGTTACCATCGCTGCTTGATGAACGAGGAAACTGAGGCTGGCCTTGCCCAGAGTCCTCCAGAAGCCCAGTGGCAGAGCTAAGACCAGAATCCAGGCTTCCTGGAGTTCAGCCCATGGCAGACAAGGTCACCACCGAGGGGCAGGTGGGAATGGGGCCACTCTGAAAGGGAAGGTGTGGACTCTGGGGACAATGGATCTTTCCCTCTGAAAGGCTCAGAAGACCTTCCTGACTTCCTTGGGGGTCACAAACCCCATCACTGCAGAGTCTGGGGACTGAAAATGAACACAGTGTGTCTGTGAGATGTGGAGAGCTGCTTGTTCGCTGTGGGGGCTTGAGGGTTCAGCTCAGCCGGGTCTCCAGCTTGTTCAAGAGAAGTGGGAAACCCAAACTTGTTAGAAGCAATTGCCTGATTTTAATAAAACCTGGGGTTTCCTGTGTAACACTGGACTTGGTTCATCCTTCTCTTTAGCTGAAAAATAAACTAAAGCCCAGGGAAAGGAAGGGAATCCCTTACTCAGGGAAGGCTGGAGCAGAGGCAGGTTGCCAACCATCCTAGGAGGTATCCAGCCTGTCCTCCACAGGGTCGTCTCAAACTGTCTTGAGACTCATCAGTGGAATCGAAGGCCGGCCACGCCGCCCATCACTGAAGCTGGTCCCTTTCCTGGTGTCCCATCTGGGCAGAACTGAGACTGAGTAGGAATCAGGGGCAGGGGCTGGGAACCTATTGGTGTCCACCCTCCAGCTGACTCTTACCACTATAACAGCCCTATGGTTCCATAAGACAGATGAAAAGCCTGAGATTAGGAGAGGCTGCATGGCCATAAGTGTTAGCAGCAGGTCTTTTCTGACTCCAGAGGCCTTGCTTTAAACCTCAGGGTCCCGTCTTTCTCTGTCCCAGGATCTCCATACATGTGCAGGAGACAGATACACCTGGGGAGCTGCTTGTGACGAGATGGGGTGGCCTCAGCCCCACACCCTCTGTGGAGGTTCCACCAGCTACTTGCTCAGGTGAGCAAGATTCACGTAGGCCCAGGCCCTGCCCTCAGGCCTTTGGGACTGAGTTGGGAGAACAGACCCCCCAAGGAGCCAACAGCAGTGACTGGGGAGTGAAAGTGGAGGAGAAGCCAGGACCTGAGGCTGAATTCGTCATGGGAGCAAGCTTGGTGAGAACGAACAAGGGAGCTGATGCTGCTGGTGCCTGGGACCTACAGCAGGACAAAGGTCCCAGAGCAGGAAACCCTATGCCTGGGAAGAACTGCACAGGCGGGATTGGAGGGCCAGCTGAAGCCGAAAGGAGGACGCTCCTAAACACCGAGCCTGGCAGCCTGGTTCTGGGTAAGTAAAGCCCAGATCAACATAGGGACCTTACTGTAGCCTTCTGGGACAAATGATGGGTGTCTCAGGAGGCGGAATAAGACTTGGGAACAGCTTGCCGGGACATCCAGGTGGGAGACAAAGGCATAGATGCAGAAGGCCAGAATCTGGTTGCCTGCCGCTGCAGAGGAGGGGCCTTGAACTGAATGACTCCACCGTTAGATTTCCCAAAGCCGCCTGCCTGCCTGCACCAGCGCTCCACCATTTGTATCATTTTGGATGGAGATCGAGAAGGATCCTGTTTAAAAGCAGGTACTCTCATCCCTCCACAGCCCATGAGCTGGCAGAAGTCCCCGGTGGTGCAAATGGTTAGTGCACTTGGCTGCTAACCTAAAGGTTGGAAGTTCGAGTCCTCCCACGGATGCCTTGGAAGAAGCCTAATGATCTAATTCTGACAAATCAACCACTTAAAACCTTGGAGTGTGGTTCTACTGTAGCACGTGTGGCCCCTTGAGTCAGAATTGGCTCAGTGAACCTGAGATGGGCAGGTGAGGGCTGCCTCACTGCTTTCTGTCCCATTGCTGATGGGAGTTGTTCTCAAGTCCTTGAGATCTAAAGTCTGTCAGTCCTCTAGCCTTTAGGGTCACACTCTCCTTGGTCTGAACCCCCATTCTGTGTGGTGGCGGGAAGGTCACTCCCTTCCAGGTTCTCTGTCTGAGACTTTCTGGAAGCTCTTGAGGAATGGCTACATGTTCCGCAGGTCCAGCCTGGTAGTCTTTGTCACTTGTGCTTGTGGTCCTGGGCTCTGTTGGTGCTCTCCCACCCTGATTCTCCAGACTGCTTCCTTTCTCCTTTATGACTTGGCCCAGAGGTGGACACAGGCCTCCCTTAATTACTAAAACTGCAAAGAGCAGGTGGTGATTTTAGAATTTTTCTTGAGCCTTGGATGAAGACTACGCCAATATTAACTGACGACTCACAGTGCGTTTGTATTTACCCTCACAAGCCTATGTTGTGAGGGCCCATCCTCTAGATGAGGAAACAAGGGTGGGCAAGAATAGGAAGCACACTTAAGTCCCCAGAGTTAGGAATGGCGGAGCCAGGACCTGACCCTGGCATCTGTCTCCAGAACCTCTCATATATACAATCTCTGTGATCAGAAGACAGTTACCATACAGAGCAAAAACATCTCAAACAAGAATTCCAGATTTCAAATCTCTGTTACACACGATCAGAATCCAGGCCTTTCCACACACAGTGTTACCCCTTGGTATTCCCCTGGACTGGAGTCTTGCTTTGCAATACAAAAGAATGAGTAACACGCTCTCAAATCAAATGTAAACTTTTACCTCTAGAAGTAAAAAACGACTGCATTAAACCAAATAGAAAACAGCATTATTTCCCTGCTCCTAGGCAGATGATTTCTGAGGCACTGGAGTGGAGCTTTCTGGGTGCTCCCTGTGGTCGAGAAGGGAGTAGAGGCCCTTTCTCACAAGCCCTGAACAAATGTCCACACAAGTCACCAACACAGCCTTAAACACACATACTGGATTATGTCACTGTGTCTGGGACACATTCTAGACTCTCTTTTTAAAAAATGTTTTATTGTGAATTATGTGATCATTTACATGGGAGAACATTACATTCATTTACATTCATCCTATTATATATCGTTTCATTGCCATGGTTACAATCCCCTCCATGCATCATCAACCAACCAAAGGGTATCCCCTGCAAGCCTGCCCACCCCCCACCCACACACCCCCCGGTCGTCAGCACACAGCCCCTCTCCCTCTCTGGGTCTAAACTCTCTTTTATTCCTTTATTTCATGTAACTTTTCTAGGTAGTCACATCATCTCTGAAGGACAAGATTTAAAAAATTAAACCCTAAACCATTAAAGATAAAAAAAATTAAACCCAAGATCATTAAACAATGTTAGTTGTCTTCCATTTCCCCTCCAGACCCACGGGGTCCACTCCTCTCCCCTGTCCCACATCCAGGAGCTGCCCCCTGGTGGGCGGCATCAGCAAGCTCTCTTGCCCTGGGCCTAGACTGGAATCAGCAGTCAGGAATTCTGAGCAGGAAAGGAGAGAGAGAGTAGGGCATTTATTTCTCTAGCTGCCTCCCTGTCACATCACCCCATGCTGTTTTCCATAACCCTGCCTGTATCTTTACAATTACTCCCATCATTCTGTTCTCCTCAGTTATTTCTGTTTCCTAGGGGCCCACACAAACCCACCGTCAGGATACCACACCTTGACCTTACGATGATTAGCTTCAAAGAGTACTCAAGGTCCTAGGTGTTGGGAGTCACTCACTGTGTGACCTTAAACTGGTAACCTCACCTCTCCGAACCTCAGCTTCCTCCTGTGCCAAAGAGGTAGTTTGAATAAGATGATGCTTGTAAAAGGGGCTTTAATAATACCAGGGACTAACAAAAGAGGCAAAGGGCTTTCACCCAGAGAAGCGGGCCTGGGATGGGTGGCTGCAAGGTGTGGACTGCATGTGGGAGCCTCACAGTCCCTTGTTGCTTCCTGAACAGATGACAGTCCAGCTCCACCAGCCCCCTTCGAACACCGGGTGGTGAGTGTAAAGGAGAGCTCCATCTCAGCAGCTTACACCGTGTGTCAGCATGAAGTCTTGGGAGGGTAGGTGGGCCTTCTGTTTTGATGAGGGGGCAAGGAGGGCTGGGGGCAGAAACACATGGAGAACTGAGCTGGAGTGCTGCTGGTGGGTTCAAGGAACTGGTTAACCGAGCCAAGGCAGGAGTAGGGTATCCCATGCAGTATGAGAGTGAACGGGATAGCCCACACAGAGTGGGACCAACAGGATTTGTCTCACGTCACAGGATAGCCCACGTGGTCTGGTGAAGTAAGGTGTAGAATATGATGTTGGTGCTGCTGTTGTTACTGGTTGTCAAGTCAGCTCCAACTCATAATGACTCTGTAAAGAGTTTCTGAGGAGCAGCTGGTGGGTTTGAACCGTTGATCTTGCTGGTTAGCCGCCAAGTGCTTACCCTACAGCACCATGCTAGGACTCCAAAGTACGGAGAGGTGTAGGTATAGCCATAGTGTACATATGGGAAGATATACCAGAGGGAGCAGGGGAGCCCACATGGTATGGGGTGAAATGCCCATGCAGTGTAGGTGTGAAGAGATTTCCCCCCAAGGTGCAGAGCACCACCTGTGGTGTGGTGTGGAGTGAGGAGGCAATTTCTGAGGTGTAGGCTAGTACTAAGGAGCTCTGGTAGCATAGTGGTTACGAATTGGGCTGCTAACCTCAGGGTCAGCTGTTCGCGGGAGAAAGATGAGGCTTTCTGCTCCCATAAAGATTTACAGGAAACCCCGTACAGGGTTGCTATGACCCGGAACCGACTCCACAGCATATAACAACAACAGGATAGTTGTTATGGAAGTAAAGAGATTCTTTTCTAGGTTTCAGGATATTCCCTCTGTTTCGAGGGGGAATGAGTCGGATGGCCTCAGGTTTCAGGATCTCCCACACAGTGCGGGAGTGATGACTAGGATGTCCTCCAGGACAGGATAGTCCATGTGGCATGTGGGTGGAGAAAGAGCACAGGGCCAGTAAGCCCCAAGGTGCAGGATGGGCCACCATGTGTGATTCTCAGCCTTTTGGACTCTCAGCTGATCATGTCAATATGTTCCTACAGGGGTCGCTTTGGCCAGGTCCACAGATGCACAGAGAGGTCTACGGGCCTCCCACTGGCCGCCAAGATCATTAAAGTGAAAAGCGTTAAGGACCGGGTAAGGCATCTGCCCTGGGCCTGCCCCGTCTCTCTGGCCAAGCTCAGAAATCCCATCACTTCCTTCAGGCTCCCTTTGAGGCCTACATTACCCTGGTCCCCTCCACACTGAGCAGGAGATCTGGTTCATGTTTCCGGCCTCTTTCCCTCATTCCTACTCTCCAGTCAGCAAGTGATCTTGCAGCTCCCTAGCCCTGACCTGCCTGTCCACCTGCTGGTATCAGGCACGGCGCTGACTTAAAAACAAGGCCCTTCTTATACCTCAGGTTTTCTATCATGGGAAATGGATGGTCTGCACTAAGTCTTTTCTGGTTTGTAAGAACCTGGCTTGGGTGGCAAGTCAAGGAGCCCTGGTGTGAGAGCAGGAAACAGAAGAAGGGTTTGTGTGTGTGTGTGTGTGTGTGTGTTTATGGGTGTGTGTGTTTATGGGTGTGTGTGTGTGTGTGTGTGTGTGTGTGTGTGTGTGTTTATGGAGACACTGACCCATTTACTTGGAAATTCTCTTTCCCTACTGGATCCACAAGGAGGATGTGAAGAACGAGATCAACATCATGAACCAACTTAGCCACGTGAACCTGATCCAGCTTTATGATGCCTTTGAGAACAAAAACAGCTTCACCCTCATCATGGAGTAGTGAGTGTCTTGGGGGTGGGGGGAGTGGGGGCAGTGGCTCCTCTTCAGGGCAGGTTCAGGGCTGGATCAGGACCTTGAGTCCAGGGACGTCTTTCCCTTTCCTCTAACCTCTCACTAGGGCATCCAGGGCCATGCTGCCCCCTCTTCTTAGTTTGAGTGCTTGACATCTACATGGAGCACGAAAGGCAAATCCATTTTGTCACAAAGTAATGACCAGTAAGCCTAATTTGGCCTGAAATTTGGTGTCAGTTTAGCCGACACAATTTTTTAAAGATTGAACTATTTGTTAACAATTGGAAATTAGAAAATTTCTCACTGAAACAGATTTCTGGCTTTTCTTGAACATATAAAAGATCTAGCAACAATGGCTCTGCATTTCCAGCTCACAGCACTGTGAGCTCAGAGTGGCTGCCCTTTGCAGACAGGGCAACCTGCCTCCCACTTGCCACAGTCCCCTACCCCCATTCCCAGCTACCCGACACTGGGCCAAGGGCTCAGAGGCCATTCATCCTGTGCGGGTGCTGTGGTTCCTTCTCAATGGACTGAGAGATTCAAACACTTGTCATGCCCATGTCTCTTTCAAAAGTGAAAATAACAAACCAAGAGAGCTGTGTTTCAAGGAAACTTGATTCTTACAGCTGTATGATTCACCATTCAGGTTTCTTGTCTTGTAGGTACTAGTTGATACACATAGGCAAATTTGTTTGCAACTCTAGTCTATGTTATCCAAAATGAGCTTTGAGTATCAGCACAATCCATCCTGTATTTTCTTTTTTTACCTTCTCTAGTTCCCTCTGAGCTAGAACTGACCAGAGCAAAGGTCCTGATAAAGCCCTAGATGGCAGTGGTAGTGGCCTCTGGGCTTACTGGGGCCGCCTCTGAGAGCCTTCCTTGGTCTGATGCCTGTCTCTCCCTTCACCCTGGCAGTGTGGATGGGGGTGAACTCTTTGACCGGATCACAGATGAGAAGTACCACCTGACAGAACTGGATGTGATCTTGTTCACCAGGCAGATCTGTGAAGGCATACATTACCTCCATCAGCACTACATCCTGCACCTGGACCTCAAGGTCAGGCTCTGCCATGAGCATGTAGTGTGGTGGGGTCCCCAGTGCTCTCATCTCTGAAATCTCTACCAACAGACACTCCTGGCTTCCATTTCTGGATCTCTGCCATCTCCTAGGTGTTGGCGGGCAAGTCACTGCCTCTCTCAGATTTTTGTTCATTTTTAATCCATGTGGAAAACATGGATACTCATAGCTCTTTATAAGTGTTATTTGAAGATTAAGTGATAATTGATGTTTCTTCTTTTAAAATCTTTTTGTTTTTAAGATTAGCTTCAAATTTAAAAATAGGCACATAGCAATAACAAAAACAATAACAAAAGTGTACAAAACACAGAGTGAAAGTTCTTTCCACCTCAGTCTTTTCCTTAAGAGAGTTTCACTGTTAGCAACCTGATATGATGCACAAGCATATATGTAAAGGGGATCACACGGTGCACTCTGTTTCCAAACTTGCTTTTTTAGTTAGTGATCCATTGTAAACATCTTTCCCCAGTCTGTTTATGGGTATGTGATATTCCACTGAATCTTCTTTTGCATCTTCTTTTCAATAATCTATTAATGGGTATTTAGTTTGGGCCCTATTGTTTAGTAGGAATGGTTCTAGAGTGTCAGAGACATAAAACCCTGAGCACAGTGCTGGGATGGCTGTTGTTGTGAGGTTCCACTGAGTAGGTACCCACTCATAGCAACCTTATGTACAGCAGAAGGAAACACTGCCTGATCCTGGGCCAACCTCACTACTGTTGCCATGCTTGAATCCATCGATGCTGCTACTTGGCTAATCCATCTCGTTGGGGGTCTTCCTCTTTTTCTCTGACCCTCCACCTTACCAAACATGATGTCCTTCTCCAGTGACTGGTCCCTCCTGACAATATGTCTGAAGTATGAGAGATGAAGTTTGGCCATCTTGGCCTCCTAGGAGCAGTCTGGCTGCACTTCTTCCAAAACGTAGCAAGCACTTATTCCATGGGAGCTGCTTCTGTAATAGTCCAGTCTGCTGGGCTGTTGTTGTTGTTGTTAAGTACCGTGGAGACAGTTCCGACTCATAGTGATCCTGCACAGGGTTTCTGAGGCTGTAAATCTTTATGGGAGCAGAATGCCTCATCTTTCTCCCACAGAACAGCTGGTAGTTTTGAGCTGCTGACCTTGAGGTTGGCAGCCCGACTTGTAACCACTACACTACCAGAGCTTCTTAGTCTGCTGGGCTGGATAGGGGTAAATTTCAGTGGCTCCCTATAGAAGACAGGAAGTAGGTTGGCTGGATCTACAGGGGTGCCTTTGCTCCTCTTGACCTTCTTTTCTAGTTGAGGCACTCAGGAAAATGGTGGAGATGGTGCCTCAGCCTTCCACTACTCACTGAAGCTAACGCCAAGTCTTTCCAGCTGTGTTCCTCTGTGGGGTGGATAAGGGAAGTCCAGAAATCTTCCCTGTGGCTCTGGTCAAGGAATAGCTTTTGGGGCATTATGAACTCGGCTGCTAACTGCAGTTGCTCCTCAGGAGAAAGAATCTACCAGTTGCTCCTCAGGAGAAAGAGGAGGTTTTCTGCTCCCATAAAGATTTACAGCCTTGGAAACCCTATATAGGGTCACTATGAGTCAGAACTGACTCCACAGCACACCACCACCACCCCTAGCCCCCGACCCTGTGACTCTTCAGCATGCAGATGATCATTGCTGAGGTCCATTTCCCAGCCAAGACTAAGGCTCCTGTTGGTTAAACAACTTCATGGCTGAGGTTTGTTGTGGTTGATAAGTGTTGTCAAGTTATTTCCAACTCAGAGTGACCCTATATAGGGTTTGTGAGGCTTTACATCTTAGAGGGAGCAGCAAATCTCATCTTTCTCATGGAGCTGTTAATGGGCTCCAATCACAGATCTTGGGGTTCTCAGTCCAGTGCTTATTGAATGGGACCACTGCTGTGGTCTCTTGATTAAACTCCTTGAGCTCATTGTTGATGCCGGTGTGGCGCTGTAGAATGAGCACACCACAGGTTAGCAGTTCAAACCCACCAGTTGCTCCTTGGAAACCCTATACAGAGTTGCTTTGAGTTGGAATCTACTTGATGGCACTTAACAATAAAAAATGTTTGCAAAATGGGGGGAAAAACTATATACCGCCTATGAGAATTACGTGGATTAAACTATGGAGAAAGAACTTGAGAGCTGCACTATTTGATTTGGTAACCGCCAGCCAGAGTAGTTATGGGGCTCTTTGAACATGGCTATTGTGACTGAGGGCGTGCAGTGGCTCTGTACCATAAGCACTAGACTGAGAACCACAAGATTGCTGGTTTGAGCCCACCAGCCACTCCATGGGAGAAAGGTGAGGCTTTCAGCTCTCACAAAGATGCACAGCCTTGGAAACCCTGTGTTGGGTCACTGTGAGTTGGAACTGACTTGACAACACTTAACAACAACAGCTGTGACTGAGGAATTGCATTACAGTTTTATTTTAGCTATTTTAAATTTAAGTTAAAAAGCTGATACTTGATTTAGATAATGGAGAATGTTTGAAACAACTTGGATATGTGAATGTTTTTTTCCACTACATTAAAAGACTTAATATGAGAAAAAATAATGGAAAATATCACACCAAGTTTTTTGTTAAGTGTTATCAAGTTGGTTCAACCCATAGTGACCCTGTATAGGGTTTCCAAGGTTTTAAATCTTCACAGGAACAGAACACCTCATCTTTCTCCCAGAGTTTTCTACTGAAAACCTATCAGAAAGATATTATTTTGAATACTTGGGGTTAAATAATGTTATTAAAATTTGGTTGTATAAAATACTTTGATCAAAGAAAATGAGAACACAATTTACCAAAACATATTGGATGTAACTAAATTAGTGCTAGAGAAAATTTATAGCTGTAAAGTGCTCTATTTTTTAAAAGAAGAAAGATATCATCACATCAATAACCTACTTGAAACTAGAACTAGAAGAGCAACCTAAACTCAAAACAAGAAGCCAGAAGAAATGGTAGGACTAGAAGTATATGAAATGGAGAAGAAAAAAATGATAGAGAAAAATCAATGAAACCATACATTGGCTCCTTGAGACAAGAAACAAAATTAACAAGACTTCAGCTAGATTGACCAAAAAGAGACAAAAAACTCAAATTACTAAAATCAGGAATGAAAGAGGAGACACCAGCTACCAATCACACAGAAATCTTGAGACAGATTATAGGGTTTCTGAGGCTGTAAATCTTTATGGGAGCAGAAAGCCTCATTTTTCTCCCACGGAACAGCTGGTAGTTGTGAACTGCTGACCTTGAAGTTAGCAGCCCCTTGTAACCACTACGCTACCAGAACTTGTATTTGCCCTTTAACATTATTTAAGTGTGCCCTCATTTTGAAATAAAAGAAGCAAAACTTACTCAAAATTAACTCTCCATCACAATCACTTCCAGTTGCTGCCGATGCATCTTTTAAATGATTAAAAGGACTTTGAATTGTTTCTTGCATCAAAGTTAGAACAGATAAGAACTGTATGCACCTATTCTTACTTATGTATGAACTCGACTTGAAGACACACTTTAAGTGAACGCATTGTAAACATTTCTTCTTCATAACCTGACATAATGTTAGATTACCCAATAAGCAGGGTATACATGGGCTTGCTTGTGCTTACTTACTAATCTGTGGTGAACAATTTTACATTATTTTCAACACATCCAAGAGGCTGCTTCTAGACATGGCCTGCATGTGTCTCATTCCCAAGCCCACAGCACCTTCCTACAGAATCAAAGCCTCTTTTCAAATTTACAGCCCCTGGCAATGGCAGAGCACCCAGTAAGCAAGGTAAACACATGCTTATTTGAATTTACATGCTCATCTCTAGTGAACTGGGTACTCTACTCCTGCTCAGGGACGGCCTCTATGTGAGTCTCATAGGCAGTTTCTATGGCCTTCTCTTGACTGCTGTATGTATGGGTCACTCTTTTATGGGTCATGTTTGCATGCCTTGTAACTTTTTGTTAGATTTTGGACATTTTAGATAATATAGCAACTTAGGATATTCATTACCCGCATCTGGGACTTGTTTCCTTGTTTAGTTACTTGCTTCCTTGTTTAGTGACTGGCTCGATTATTTTAGTGAAGTCAAGGTTGACTCGAGGAGAGCTGTTTTGTTGTTGTTGTTTTCCTGGCCCAGTGTTGAGCCTCTGATGTTGCTCCTGAAGAGACACAGCTCTGTTATGTCCACAGGCATCCCAGGATGACAGTGGCAATGGTAGGGCTCTCTTCTAGTCTCTCCTTAAACTCACCCAGCTGCGGCCCACTCATTCCCAGACAATCATTCTATTGTTCCCACAGTGCTTTGGGACAAGCCAGTCCAATCAATCTGGAGCTCCTCTAAAGGAATAGTTTCTGAGGTCAGCATTTGATATTTGTTCTGAAGCCAGGAGGGCTCCTTCCAGTTCATTTGTTTATGGGTTCTCTCCTACAAACCTGGAGTCCCCAGATAGTGCAAACAGTTAAACACTTGACTATTAACTGAAAGATTGGCAGTTTGAACCCTTACAGAGGTGCCTTGGAAGAAAGTGATCTGATTTTGAAAGGTCACAGCCTTGAACCTATGAAACACGCTTTTATACTGCAGATATCGTATGAGTTTACCATGAGTTGGAAACTACTGGTTTGATCTCCTGCAAACTAGCCAGCCTACAATCTAGGCCGTATCTTCATTAGTTCCATGAATTGCCTCCAAATTGCATTGCCTTTCCCCACAGTCTCCACTATTGACAGTAAGTACCCTCAGGTGTAAACTTTTCCCAGCAAATGAAGCCAGTTTCTTTGGTGAAATTAGGAGCTACCTCTTTTGTGGCTTGCTTCTCTACCCAGGCAAAATCTCTGTGCTGAGGACTCTTGAACTGGGCATAGGGACAATACCTAGCTTCTCTTTATGAATGACATCTACTCTAGGAGATGAACAGTCAGTGGAGTGTCAGGGGCCACAGCTTGGGGTCCTTTGGACTTGCCTTTTCTGGATGGAACCACCTTTTCATGTGCTGGGGCTAGGGCTACTAGAATGCCAATATTCTCAACGTGCCATGCCAAGCTAAGTCAAGCCTCTATTCCACAAATGGGAAGCTGGCCAAAGAAAGCCACCATCTTTTGACGACACAATTCTAGACTTGGCCTCACCAATAGACAGCTGGTGGCAAGATGAAACCACTGAAATTCTGCTTCTATAGGGAAGGAAGCCCTCTGGCCAGGAGCTTGGGGCAGAGGAAGCCCTATGCCCTTGGCTGCAGCAGTCTGGAGAGGAGCCTTCACCTTGCTGAGCTGGGAAGAAGGAGAGAACGAGTGGTCTTGGTTCAAACACCACAGACTTCCTTACAGAATTTTTGTAGATTTTTTTGAAGCGCTGCTTCCTCATATACTCTCAGAACCACTTCCAGAGATTTTAGAATGTTTTGTGTGTTTTTTTTTAATTGGCTTGTTGTTAGAATTTTCACCAGGGAAAGCAGGTCAGTGGAGCTCCCCATGCCATCATGCCGGAAGTTGATCTCCCCCATACACTGCGAATATGTGTTTAAATTTGATTTTGCTGCCTACACTTAAAAGCATCAACTTCTTACATAAAAATCTGGATTTCTGGCTTGTCTTGAGGAGTAAGAAACTCTGGCAACTGGGCCTGCTTTCCTGCACAGCGACTCTGCTGGAGTTGAGCAATGACCTGCCCCACCCACCTCCGCCTTGACACAATCCCTATCTCCACAACCATTCCACGTACTGCCTCACACTAGCCTGCTGGATTCACTGTCATGATCTGTCTAGCGCTGTAGGGCTTCCCTGAGCCACGCACTCTGCTTGGAGCCTGGGAAACTGAGGCCCACAAATAAATGTGGGAGTTCAGATTTCCTTGAGCTAAACTGTCTTTCCTTTCTTTCTCAGCCAGAGAACATACTGTGTGTCAGTCAGTCAGGACACCAAATTAAGATCATTGACTTCGGACTGGCCAGAAGGTAGGGCAATTTTCTTTGACACTTTGACAGAACTCTTGGGGGACTACTTGTGGCTCCTTTGGGCATGGCTACCCGTGGATCAGCCAATTCAGGAGTTTGGGGACTGACCCAGGGGAACTCTCCCATTCAGAGGCTGTAGCCTTCGACTGTGCACATAGGCAGGGGGTGGCTTTGTGCTGTGGGAAATACTTTTCCTTAAAACATTGTCGAGTTATTGCTATCTAAGAGTTAACTCAGCTATCTAAGCAGAAAAGTTGTTGTTAAGTGCCACTGAGTCGATTCCAACTCATAGTGACCCTGTATTGGGCTTCCAAGGAGCAGCTGATGGGTTTGAACTGCTGACCTTATGGTTCGCAGTCCAGTGATGGTTAACTGAGGTCCACCAAATAGGGGTGCTGGGTGGCCCTTTCCCAGACTTACTTTCTAGAGGTTCTCCTAGGGCTCTGTTGCATCTCATACCATCTCTGCCTTCCCAGAAATGACTGAGCTAAGTAGGGAAGCTTGTCCTGACAGTGTAGAGGTGGATCTTGGTCAAATGGTGATTAATAACAGTACATGAGACACGGGGCAGTTATGAGGGACCGGCCCATGAGGATGAGTAGGTGCTCAAGTTTCAGTATATAAAGTAAACATTGTATATACTAAAAATCATACTTAAAGTCCTTTAAAATGCATACAGCCTAGTGAAGTATATAGTTTTATTATACAATCCTATTTTGTCATAAGTGCTTATAAATGTATGATAAACACTGTGCTTCTATAGGACCCTGCTCATGCACCCCTGGTGCAGTGGGTTCTTCATAGTACCAATAGCAGCCCCTTGACATTTGAAAGAGCTTCCCCAAACCTTCAGGGCTTTGAGGTTCATAAATATGGAATATTGTATGCCCATCCTCTAGGCTGCTTCTAGAATTTGTTTTCCACCAAGACTGACTTGTCTCTGGGGAGTCACATATTTTCTAGGTAGATCCTCACACCACAGCTGAATTTTCAACTCTTGCTGAAGTATTCTTTCTCACCCTGATGGTTAGTCCACATGCTGCAAGCCTTACAGCATCCCCCACTCCATCACAGGTGGGAGAAAGCCAGGCCACATTGCCATGGAGGAGAGCTCATGCATGCCTGAGCTCAGCCTCTAATCTCCACACACATACCTTCCAGAGGTAGAATTCAAAACCAAAAGATCACTCCTCATTCATCGACATGGCCAGTGATGTCCATTTGCAGGTGAGAGATGCATTTTCAGTGCCTCACATGAAGGATGGGACTCCAAGTAGCGTGACAGCAGAATCAAGCTCATCCTATTGTTCCCTCAGGATCCCCATTACGCAATGTATAGTATTCCCAAACAAAGTAAAATTTCCCCCAACCCTAACACTTAAAAAAATCAATCCATAGAGCATGAGCAGAATGTGGGACCCTACTCAGAGAAGCAGCGACACCAGAGATGGAGGCAGAGATGAGGACATGAAGAGATTGAGCAGCTGAGGACTCTAGACTCATGAAAAGAGAAAGGCTGTGTACTGGCAGCCAGGAGGCAGACTTGCAAAATGTGCCCTTTGGTTGTTTAAGTTATTATATATTCTTGAGTGTTTTTGTGTACATCCAAAAATAAAACAAAACAAAAAAACAGAGGGAATAGAAGCAAATACTGTTGAATGATAATGATCATTGCAATTAAAAGAAATATGATAGGATGAGTGTAAAACCAATGTTCTCCCATGTAAACTATCACTCAATTCACAATAAAAAACTTAAAAAAAAAATCAATCCATAAAACATTGCTTACTGGCTTTCCAAATCCCATCTTATCAAATTGGCATGCATCTTGTTCATGTACATGTTTTAATCACTAGAACAGTGTTTCCTAAACTTTTCCATTATCACAGTGAGCCCTCCTGTTCTCAGTAAGGCTTTTCTGATTTTTCCCCCTATCCTCATCTCTACCACATGTATCTGTTCATGTCTGATGACCTATCGCAGAACCACAGCCATTGTATTATCTAAATATTTTATCCACCTAAGTACTTTTTGGGGTGATTCACCATCATTGAGAATACATGCACAGTACAGCCTCAAATGTCAAATAACCAATGGCCAAATGGGTATTTATAGTGAGATGCTGAATTCAGGGCAAGAAGTAACATCTGGAGTCAAGGAAGTCTTCCCTGATCAGCCGGAAAGGAAGAATGGAAAGGGCTTTGTTACCTGTGGGCAGTGGTGTACTGGCAAATATTTAACAACCTGCCTAGAGTGGGGTGGGTAGGACTTGATTTGTAACCTTTGTCAATTTTGGTCATATGAAAATGTTCACCATGGCCGATTTCAAGCTACCATCTGACGTCCCTGAATGTAGAGTTTGGAGGAGACCTGCACAATCAGCTCTCATGGTCCTGTGAGAACCAGTTCTAGCATGCTGCCCAGAAGGAAGGCAGCAGAGGTGTGTGAGGCTGTAGAATAGAAGATGATGGTGCCAGTGAGGAGGCCTGGATGTTAGACAAAGAAGTTTGAAGAGTTTATGATAGTCTTACCTGGTAGGAGAGTATAGAGGACTGGAAGTTAATTTACCTAAACAATCAGCCGTAAGTTGAATGGTCAACCCATCAAATGCTGTCAGACAAATACCTTGAACTGGTCAAGGGCATTGAAAACAGTGATTTTACTGATGGAACCAGAGGTGGAGGAAAAGTCCAAGAAAATAAACACATTAAAAATGAGCATTGAAGAAGTGTAGGTGATGCTCAGAAAACTACAGAGAATGGAGTTGTGCTGACAGGCTCAAGGATAGCTCTGAGATGAAAAGCAAACATTGAAAATGTTGTCGGTAATCTGGTCAACTGGTCATTCAGCAAAAGGGTTGTTTGGTAAATAAGTTTTGCAAATTGATTTTTGACAAATTGGCTTGTTTTCTGGGAAGTGCGTCCTCCTAAAAGAAAGGCCCCGTGGGACTGATGATCTTTTCTGTAAACCTCCACCCAATTCACAAGAAAAATGAAAAAACCAAAAAAACATTCTATGATGTTTAAGGGCTGGGGAGGGAAAATTATTCACAGGCTTAGAGGGTAGGCATATGTTAACATGGGCAACAGGGCAGGCAATATACAAGAGGGAGGTTGGCAGAGGGCAGATGCCGGTAACGGGAGACACAGGGAGGAATGCCAGAGTTAAAGTGAATAGAGGTAAATACTGTTAACTGATGGTACATGGAGGGATTGCAATCATTGTAATTAAGCGAAGTAGGACTTGTTGAATGTAAAACTGATGACCTGCTCTATAAAGCTTCACTTGATTCACAAATGTAAAATTTAAAAACAGCAGCAACAACAAAACAGCAAATATAAATCCTTCTACCCCAGTTATTGGTGCTCATGCCTGTGGCTGCTTGCCGAGTAAGATAGATTGACCTCTCTTTTTCAGATTACAAATGCCCCAGAAGGAGGACTGTGGCTTTGTAATTCTCTCTGGTAACTTAGGAAGGCCTGAAGTTTGGCACCTGGGGGCAAGATAATTCCCCAGAAGAGCACATGTGTGGTCAGGGTATGAGGAAGAGCAAGGATGTCTACTTCCCACCAGGAATTAGTTCCAACATCAGCATCTTCTTCCAAGGCACATTCCCATTGCCCTCTACAACCCTGTTCCCCAGGTACAAACCACGGGAGAAGCTGAAGGTGAACTTTGGTACCCCTGAGTTCCTGGCCCCAGAAGTCGTCAACTACGAGTTTGTGTCATTTCCCACGGACATGTGGAGTGTGGGGGTCATCACCTACATGCTGTGAGTGTCCCAGAGGCCCGGCTCTCCAGCAGGGACAGGGCCATCTGGCTTAGTTTGAGTTCCTTCAGAAGCAATAAGAATTTGAGTGCAAGTCATTTATTTTTTGAGAGGCCTGGGAGTGACACCCAGAAACACCAATAAGAAGTGGGGGAGTAAGAGGAGAAGGGAAGACAGGCAGTAAAGGGCGTATTATTGACCATAGTGAGCAACTGGGGCTCAATCCTGCTGGGGAAGTCTAGGATCCAGGTAGAACACATTCACAATAACGGAGAAAGTCAGGGTACTTTTGTATCAGCTCTTGTTGGCTTCTATTTATGGACTGATCCTGGGAGGGGGAGCATAAAATTCCTGGCACCACTGGGTGGGAAAAGCTTCAGCTTGAGGGAAAGCCTTCCACAAAATAAATGCAAATGCTGGCAGTTACCGGGGACATGGGTCTCTGAAGATGTAAGTAGAGGAGACAAGCAGGACAGGACACTGTCTGCTACATCTTCTAACCTGGTTGTTTCTGGCCCTGCTCTCCCTGTTTTCTTGAGCTGAGGAAGTACAGTTATGCTGGGCTGATGGATTCATGTACAGACTAAACATCCTCTTCTCTTCACCTAAGGATTTCCCTTGGCTATTTCCTCAGACGCCCAACAAACACATGCTATGTATGCTTCCAGTCTTAGCATTTAACTGCCATCCTGTTTCCCTGAACTTTGTAAGTGTGTGCTTCATCAGGCCGGAAAGAGATGTGGCCCAAGGCCAGGCAGTTAAATTATGCAGCCCCTCTGCCTAAAACAGTCCATGTTCCATTGCCTGCCCCGAAGCCCAAGTAGTATCTGAGCCAGTCTGGCTGTCTCAGAGACATCATAAGCGATTTTTAAGTTAAATCAAGACATGCCTGATAATTGGACATATTGGGTTGGGCCCCAATTTACTCTCTGTTTCAGGGATGCAGAGAAAGGATGATAGAAAACTTATTCTAAATACCCTCCCTACCTGCAGAGTTCTATTCTTACACTGCTTTGTACAGAGCACAACTGTGGAGAAGTAAGGGAAATTATTTTCATTGAACTCTTGTTAAACACTGTAAGGTTCGCCTGTGTGCTGTCGATCGGATCAGGCTGACAAATGTGGTTTCCACCTACTGATGGTGTTTTCTCTCCTCTGTAGACTCAGTGGTTTGTCCCCATTTCTAGGGGAAACAGATGCAGAGACCATGAATTTCATCGTGAACTGTAGCTGGGATTTCGATGCGGACACCTTTGAAGGGTTGTCAGAGGAGGCCAAAGACTTTGTTTCCCGGCTGCTAGTCAAGGAGAAGAGGTACCCTTTGTCACTTGCCATGGAAATATGACCCCTGGTTTGGGTACTGTGAGTACTTTTGTCCCTATGGACTGGCTCTGTTTGGAGCCATAAAGGTAGCAGGGAAAAGACCAGAGGAAACTAACTCAAAAGCAATGGAGAGAATAATATTTAGAGTTTTAGACAAATGCACATTGACAAAATGGTCCAATTTCCAAGTGATCATTTTTTAATAGACCAGTGTTGAAATAAAGTTGAGGTACGTAGACATTCCACTGCACAGGATGGGGCAGTGTTTCATTCTCTTGTACACAGGGTCTCTATGAGTCTGAACTGACTAGACTGTACATAACAACAGCAACACACATGTGGATGCTATTGCCCAAGATAAACACTAGAAATATTTCTTAATGATGAAGGCCTACGCTGTCTTCAACAACTATACTGAGACCACATTGAGGGTTTTGATACTCAGCCAAAAGAATAACTGAAAAATCAGCACAGATAAGAAAAGACCCGGGTGGTGCATATGATTTGCACTCAACTGTTCATTCTGGTGTGGGATCTGTAGGATCAGCATTGGACTGTGAACCTAAGGTGATCAGTTCAAACCCACCAGCTGCTCCTCGGAAATCCTGTACAGGGTTGCTATGAGTCAGAAGCGAATTTGATGGCACTTAACAACAATGACAGCCACTCAGTGATGCTGTGTTAGGAAGGTCTGGCAATATACTTCAATAAGATCAAATGAAAACAGCCCATTGCCTTCCAGATGATTGTGTCTCATGGTGACCCCAGGTGTCACAGAACAGAGCTGCTTTAGAGAGATTTCTCAGCTGTAGTTTTGATGAGAACAGATTGCCAATCCTTTCTTTCGTGGCATCAGGGTGGGTTCGAACTATCAGTCTTCTTATTTATTTATTTTAAGAAAACATACTTCTTATTGTGAATTGGGAGAAGGTATACAAAGAAAATCGGTGTTCCCTTCAATAATCCGTGCACATTTTGTTTCATTTCATTGACTGTAATCTCCACAGTGTAGCCTCATGTATTCTACTTCTTTCCTGTTTCCCATCACCCTTACCCTTCTGAACTTTGTTCTGAAATAAATGCTTCCCTTTTTATGGTAGATTATTCTAAGGACTGCAAACCTCCCTGATATTATTGTTCACCGCATAGACCTGTCTATTGTTTGGCTGAAAATTTGAGCAATGTGGTGAGTTCAGCTCCAGACCTGAAGACTGGCTAAGGCCCATAGTCTTACTGTCTATCTGATCAGTAAGTCTGCCCTTTTTCTTACAGTCTTGAGTTTTGGTCTACGTTTCTCTCCCACTGAATCTAGGACCTTCTATTGTGATCCCTCTCAGAGCAGTTGGTAGTGGCAGCTGGGTACCATTTAGTGCTTCTGGCCTCAAGGTCATGGAGCCTGATGAACCATCAGCCTTTAGGTTGGTAGTTGAGCACAAGCTGGTGTGCCATTCGGGGACCTTAACATAAGATTATAGTCACTGAAAGGGAAGCACAGTGGCTCTGTATGATAAATACTCAACTGCAAACCATAAGGTTCAAGACCACCAGCTGCTCCATGGGAAAAAGATGAGACTTTCTGCTCCCACAAAGATTACAGATTTGGAAACCCTATACAGGACTGTTAGAATTGGCACCAACTTGACGGTACTTAACAACATCAATGGTAGTTGTTGGTGGTTATGTGCTGTGGAGTCGGTTTCAGCTCATAGTGACCCAGCACAAAGTTTCCGAGGCTGTAAATCTTTATGGGAGCAGAAAGCCTTATCTTTCTCCTGTGGAACCGCTAGTGGTTTCGAGGTTGTGAGATTAGCAGCTGGATTCACTGAAAACCCTACAGAGTACAGTTCTACACCGATACAAACTGCAACTGACTTGACAGCAGTGAGTTTGGAGTTTTTTGGTAATGAATGACCTAGGAATAAGGCCCACGAGTCGGGGTCTAAAGCCAGGTTATAATTCCCTGACTTTTTGGTTTTGTATCTTTCAGATAGGCAAATATTATGTGGGAGAGAAAAAATATTCCCAATTGAGATGAACAAACTGGTATTATTCTCTGGAGGAGAAATGAGCTTCAGTCCTTTCAAGTTGTCGAGTCATATTCCTTTAATTCTTTACCTCAATTGCAGTCTCAGCTGGCCTTCCTACTGCTTTGCCCAGCTCTCCAGTCCTTCCTGGGAGGTAGTGATTACTCACAGCTGTCTCCTCTTCTATAGAAGGCAGGGAACACTTTGCTGAAGACTTTCTTTAAGGAGCGGAATTTTAGACATGAGGTGTTCCCTTTTTGGTCTGTGGCACGAATCTGCCTAAATGATTAATCTGTTCCACTGACTCAGCTTCCTACCCAGTTGCTCAACTTCTGAATAAGCAGAAAAGGCAACCCCAACTAAGAGTCTCAACTACTGTTTGATTTCACAGCTGCAGAATGAGTGCCACACAGTGTCTGAAACACGAGTGGGTGAATACCTTGCCTGCTAAAGCTTCAAAATCCAAAGTTCGTCTCAAATCCCAGCTCTTGCTGCAGAAATACATGGCTCAGAGAAAATGGAAGGTATTTTTTTCTGTTGGTAAATTCTGCAGTTGTTTTCTTTGGGAAAGAATCGTAACTAAGTTTTTACTTAACGTTTTGATTTTAAATGGAAAGATTATTTAGGAAAACAAGAAAAAGAAAAACTACTTTGGGTAGTGCTGCCATAACCCAAGTTCCACAAGTGGGTAGCTTTGAAGAACTCATTCTTTACAGTTTGGTTGCTAGCAGTCCAATCAGGGCACCAGTGCTAGGGGAGGGTCGTTCCTTGTCAGTGTTCTTTGATATTCCTTGGTTTGCAGAGAATCATTACATGATGTCTGTTTTCTCCCTGTGTCTGTGTGTCCTTGGGTCTACTGGATAAGACACCAGAAGAGATTAGATATAGGACCCACCTTACACTGGTCTGGCTTCAGCAACATAATAAAAGAAAAACAGGTACAGGGTGAGGACAACATTATATATATATGTAAGGGGGACACAATTCAACCTATAACAGATGTCCTCATGTCAAAAGTTGTTGATTAAAGTTTGACTGTCATAAATGTGGCATTTGGTTGGTACTCTTCTGCAACTTAAAATGATACAAGGAACCTTGAGCATACATTCTCAAGGGCACTAGTACTCATGGAAGTAACCGCTTGTGGTTTGAGGCTGGTTCCTTCACATTTCAGAAATGGGGGTGAGAAAGCTCTATTAAGATTTAAAGCTTCTCAGTGTTGTTAACAACAGAACCCTTCATAACATGGACAAAAATCTTTTTTAAAAGCAACTGTCCTCCCCCCCGCAAAAAAAAGCAATTGTCCCCCTGGGGAAGTGGCTTTCCAACATTTTGATATTGACTCAAATCCTTAGTAATCAACAAAAAACACACTTTATCTGGGAAGCCAGTATGCCAGCATACATGTACACATGCATATGAAATAATATCGTCTCTGGTAGAGTACAATCCACTTTGATGTTTTCTATTCTCTGCCTTTGAGTTTCATTCATTAAATGAAAAACGTTCGTCACAACCCACCAATTTGATTTCATGGTCCACAATTTGAAAAATACGGCTCTAGAGTACTTTGTTTCTCATGTAAAAAGGGCAGGGTAACATATCTTTTCCTTTCATATTTATTCCATACATGCCCCTGAAAACCACACGGCTGTTCTATGGCCAGTATTCTGGGAATTTGCTTTTCCCTCTAAGTTACACAATTTTAAACAAACTCAAGTGGCTAGACTTGTCTCAGTTCTTTGCTCTTCTTAAAGAAATCTTTCTAAAAATTGTCTCTTTTTCCTCTCTCTCTCCTTACCTCAAGAAACATTTCTATGTGGTGACTGCTGCCAACAGGTTACGGAAATTTCCAACTTGTCCTTAATCTTCAACTCTGCTGCTTCAACGGGTTAAGAAGTTACTGAGAACAGTTGTGAAATGAAGAGATGGCTCACATTTTTTTAACAATCTGGTCTTTTACTATTAATTTATGATCTACTAGTAGTAATTCATTATTACATTGTATAATTCATGATTATAGTTAATTCCACTGATTTTATATGTATAAAAAAAAAAAGATTATGGCTGTGGCCTTTCTTGTGGTGACAAGTGATTGACAAGGAAGTGATCTAAGTTTTCCCCCTGCCTTTTATGATTGCTAAGTTTGAAATGCTGTGTTAACTTTTAAAGTATACCAACTTCTGGTGATAAGTACTTAAGTAGATAGGAAAGGTCCTGTTTTGTGTATGTCAAATTGAAATTCTAGACTTTATTCTGATTAAAGATCTCAGTAGATTATTCCACGGGGACATGTGATTCATCATTATTTTCTCCCATACAAACAATTCCTAGCAGTGTTTGCCAAACATCTTTGAATTCATGTTCCCTTTTGAGAATTAGCATTAAAAAATGTGCATCCTTTTTAAATTTTTTGTAATTTCAAACTATATCAAAGGCTGTGTCTAAAAAAGGTCAGAACAATGGAAGTGTTGATTGTGCTTTTTCAGGTCTACACACATCTCCAGCCTCAGCCCCCAGCCTGCCCGCCTTCTCTGATCCTCCTTCAAATATTTCAGATTTACCTGTCTTGTAAATCCGAAATATTTGAAAGGGTGATAAGAATGATGCATCTTTCTGAGAGAAACATGTAAGTGAGAGAAAAGAAAGAAAAACTAGAAAACATTTATTAGCTTAATATTGATAAACCTACATTTTATTAGAAAATCATGAAAAAATAAAGGAAAACTGCTCAGCAGTTCAAACCCACCAGCCGCTCCTTGGAAATCCTATGCAGGTTTGCTATGAGTCGGAACCAACTCGACAACACTTAACAGCAACAACTGCTTCAGGAAGATCATACCACTTCCATTGTTGTCATTTGACCGACTAGTAAATAGTTAATGTAATAGTGGTGGCTGTGGTACTTCCATACTGTTGAGTGGATTCTGGCTCACAGCTCCCCTGTGGTGCCATGTGATAAGCGCTGGACAGTGAACCACAAGGTCCAAAACAAGATCTGAAGTTCGAGTCTACCAACCACTCCCACAAAGATTTAAAGCCTCAGAAACTCTATATAGGGTCACTGTGAGTCGGAACCGACTTAACGACACTTAACAACAACAGCACATCTTTGTGGAAACAGAAAACCTCATCTTTTTTTCCTCAGAGCTGTTTTGTCTGTTCTGACTCACAGCAACCCTATATAGGGTTTCCAAGGCTGTAAATCTTTATGGGAGCAGAAAGCCTCATTCTTCTCCCATGAAGTGACTGGTAGATTTGAACTGCTGACCTTGTGATTAGCAGCCCACCTCATAACTACTGTTATCAGGGCTCCTCCCTTATTCATAAGGAGGTGTGCAGTTGTTGGATAAGGACTTGACCATAAGGTCCATTTGAACCATAAATTTGGCGGTTCAAACTCCCCAGCTGCTCCTCGGAAACCCTATATAGGGTCACTATGAGTTGGAATACAACAACAACATTATTCAAAAGTTAATAATAATTTTCATTTACTTCCAACCTGTTTGTGCTATCACCATTCCCTTCCAGAGTCAGCCATTTTAATTGGAGTTATTTACTTTAGGTTTTAATTAGACATGCAACAGTTTGATGGCCTTTCATGGTCTTTCTCCCACCCAGGATAAAGATGTGTTTTCTGGAAAGCAGACATGGGTATGGGAGGAGGCAGAAGGTGAGGAGGTCATCCTTTGTTAGGAAGCCAGATTTCAATAGTGGGAGCAAGTCTAGGCCAGTTAATGAATGGACAACAAAACAGATGACTACTGGAGAAAGCCCTGTCATGACAGCAATGATCATTTGGCAAAATGTTTGAATTTTCAAGTGTCAGTTATTTCTCTGAAGAGGTTTTTCAGGAGGACCTCCTGATAGAGCTAAACCAGTTCTTTGAGTGGACCCCAGGCAACACCATGTCTGTCCACGTAGAACTGCACTCAGTAAGGGTTTTAATGACTAGTGGTTTTTTCTAAAGTAAATCACCAGGCTTTTCTGCCAAGGTATCTTTTGGTAGACTTGAACTTCAGGTCTTTTGGTTAGCAGCCAAGCATGTTCAGCATTCATACCACTCAGTGACTCTCTCTAGAAGGAGTTAGGATATTTTGTAGTTCTATCTATATGGTGGCTTTTATCCTCTTTGGCACTTAAGATTTTTGGTGAATGCTACGGATTTTTTCCCTAGAAAAATGTAATTACTTTGATCTAAAATTACTTTGTCTAAAATACTATGTCTAAAAAAACATAGTATGAGCCATGTACATAATTTAGAATTTTCTTGAAGCTCCTCTAACAGAAACCAGTGAAATGAAATTATTTAACCCAATATATCAAATATATGAAAGGACTTCAAAAAGATCTTAGAAGATTTGAATTAAAAAACAATTGGCTTTTGCATTAAACTTTTTGAAGCTTCCTTGTATTACCACTTGAATATGTAATCAATATAAAATTATTGAGATTTTTAGATGATTTTTGATACAAAGTTTATAAAATCTGGTGTATATTTTATACTTAGAGCACATCTGAATTCAGTTGTAGCGTTTTCAGTGGACATCTATATTTAATTTTTTTAAAACTTTACTGTTGAAAAGTTTACTCATGTATTTAGGTTGTTCCAAACATTCTTAAAGGTTTTCCAATAGCTGAGTTAAGTATCCATTTTTACATTTAATTTAAATTCAGTTTAGCAGGTACACTAGCCATATTTTAAGTGCTTAATAGTCACCTGTGGCTAGGGACTTCTGCATTGGACAGGGAAATCTAGAAAGAATTCTATATCTAGCAAGCTCTAATTATTCCCCCCGCCCCCTGCATACTATTATTCTTTATAAGAGAAACATTTTCTTTCCAAAATACCTTTAAGGATATTTAGCTCAAGGTACATCAAAAGTAATGTGAACTTTAGGCTAATTGATCTGAAATGTAAGGGAGAACTTTTATAAAGCTTGAATTTTCTGATTTTTAAAAAATATCCTGTCTTAAGAGAATTAAAATTTAGCTAAAAAAATTTTTTTTAACTTCTTATTGTGAATTGGGTGAAGGTTTACAGAACTGATCAGTTTTACATTCAACAATTCATACACTTTTTTTTCATGTCATTGATTGCAATGCTCACAATGTAACATCACTTATCCCACTTTCTCCCCGTGTTTTCTGTTTCCATTCCTACTTCCTTCCTAATCCTCTGAACTTTGTCTTTGGATAAATGCTGCCCCTTTGATCTCAAATGGTTGATTATTCTAAGCAATTCATTCCTTTCTAGTGTCATTGTTCACCTTATAAAGCTGTCTATTGTTTGACTAAAAATTGAGCATTTGTAGATGCTCTAGACTGCAAGGTTGCTTTGAGCCACGAGGTCAGTGGTTCAAGCTCCCCAGCTGCTCCTCAGAAACTCTATACAGGGTCTCTATGGATTGGAACTGACTTAATGGCCCTTAACATCAACACATCAACATCAAGGCTACTAAGGACCACAGTCTCTGGGGTTCCTCCAGTCTCTATCTGAACAGTAAGCCTGGTATTTTTTATGGTTTTGAGTTTTGTTCCACATTTTTCTCACACTCTATCTAGGACCTTCTTATGTGATCCTTTTCAGGGCAATTGGGAGTGGTAGCTGGGCACCATCTAGTTCTTCTGATCTCAGGCTGGTGTTTGTGTGGTCCGTTAATCCATTGGACTAATTGTTTCCAAGTGTCTTCAATTTTCAGCAGTCTTGCTCTGAATGGGAAGAGACCAATAGTTTTGCCTTAGATGGCCACTCGTGATAGCTCAAAAGTTGGTATATTGATACTGTGCTGGTAACTGTTGCTAATGGAATTCTCCGTTTGAATGAACAGTCTTTGGAGACTGCTGGACAGAGAAACTCTAAGGGACAGTCAGGGCCCAATTTTTTCACCTATCCAATTGGCAAAAATAAAAAGTAGGTTAATATCTAGAGTTTGTGAAGGTATGGGGTGGGGGTGGGGGGATATGGCACTCTGTGTCACAATTTTATATAGCAATTCCAGTCCTAAAATTTTCTCTCTCACCAATGCTTGCAAAATGAGATTTATGCAAATTTTTTATTGTAGCACTTGTTGATAGCGGCCCAGTGGAAACAACCTCCACAGGTGAATCAGCATTGTTGTTGTTTGTTAAGTGCTGTTCAGTTGGTTCCAAATCATAAGAGCTTTTGCTGCACCCATATACACCCTCTCCTCACTTAACGACATGGTTATTTAGTTCCAAAGACCAGGTAGCCTGCAAAATAGTCATTATGTGAAAATGAAGGATGACCACATCCGATGACAAAATGGAGGATGATTACAACATAACATAACTGCTAAATTACATTATTAATAACTGCCAAACCACTGCCACCACTTATCTTTCAGTTTGGCATATTGTGGTGGTTTGCATGTGGCTGTGATACTGGAAACTTTGTCACTGGTATTTGAAATACCAGCAGGGTCATTCATGGTGGGCAGGTTTCAGTTTAAGAGTAAGACTAGGAAGAAGGATTACCCAGGGAAACTTTATGAATAATAGCAGGACATACACAGATGTAGTGCCAGAAGATGAAAATCTTATGAATGGCAGTGGAAATCATCAGATTTAGTGCTGGAAGTTGAGTCTCTTAAGTTGGAAGACACTCAAAATACAACTGGGGAAGAGCTGCCTCCTCAAAGTAGAGTTGACCATGATGACATGAGTGAGTAAAGCTTTCGGGACCTTAATTTGCTGATAGGGCACAACTCAAAGTGAGAAGCAGCTGCAAACATTCATTAATAATTGGAACGTGGAATGCACGAAGTATGAAGCTAGGAAAACTGGAAGTTGTCAAAAATGAAATGGAACACATATCTTTAGCATTAGTAAACTCAATGGATTGGT